AGAACAAATGCTGACCCAGCACAGCAGATTAGCAAGCAGCAGGGTCCAAGGCTGAGTATTAACAGCTACTTCAAAAACAAACTAAAGCATCCCAGGTGACTAAACTAAATGAATGGTGTTGCTTCTTACACGAAATGAAGAGCAGGAGCAGGTCAGCAACATCCACATTAAAAAAAAAGCATTTAAAATGTGTTTCAATTAAAAAAGACAGAACAGTATAACAGCCATATGGAATTGCTTCCTAATTTCATCAAGGAACTCCACCTCTGCTAATACTTTTTGGCTTTGGTGAACTCGGTAATAGCTTTTGAATGATCTGACTCACCTGAAAACTTCACTAGTCTGACTCAACAGCAGTGGCACAAACCCCATAAAATTACAGCACTATCCAATAGTTTAGGACCCCACCCTCTTTCCATATGCCTTTGATACTCAAGAGCTAACAGAGAGCATAAGATTGATTTCCTAGCCCCATGACTGTCTCGATTTCTACCACAGATTTTTGTTTATTAGATTGCAAGGTAATGCATCATAGAGACCACACAGATCTCTAGTGAAGGGTCATTTAAATAGTCATTGGCACTTGTACCAGGCTGGAGGTCATTCACTGAATGGCAAACATGTCACTGTTTCACAAAATAACTTTCAATCTTTAGTGTCAGATAAAAGTGAACATTAAGGAAGAAGTTCAAACCCTAGGTATTTAAAAGGAATGTGGTGATACAATCCTTTCAGAGGTAAACCGTTTCCAGTCAGTTACATTTCCAAGAGAAGACATACAGTCAAGCAAGAGACAATCAAGCTTGCAGAATGATGGAAGAGCATCCACAGCGTATTGTTCCTTCCTCTTGTTCTCTTTGCTTTAAATTCAATGCAGAATTTTATTGTCCCTTTGCACAAAGAAACAACTATATATTCTCCCCATAATTCTGAAGCAGTCTTTGTCCTATTTATTGTGGCTCTGTCTCTCATGGCATATAGATGACCTTGCTTCAGTGAGATGAAGATAGCACCCCCACTTCTCAGCAAACCAAGTCTTAACCACTAGCTGTCAATGCAGCATAGTTTAGTCCATTTGACTTGGGGCATGGAAAAGAGGGTACAGGGGAACAAACCCTCACTGGCAACAAGGAACAGAAGAGAGCAGAAGGACCAGATTTGCTGCTTCTTTACTGCCCCTGCACCTCAACAAGGCTAGACACTCATATCAGAAGCCGTTGGATTATAAACGGAGGAAGATACCTCCTTCTGCATCACTCCACTTGATAAAACCAATAATGAGCCGCACTTTAAGGATGGTGCAAGGCCAATCATTAATCACATCTGGAGATGAGTGAAAATCCAGGCCATATTATGAAAGGCAATGTAAAACATTCCCTGTGAGAAAACACAGCTTAGCAAACTGGCACTCTGCCCTTCTCAAAATCTCAAGTGGTATTCAGGGGCAACCTTATTAGAGGATGCTACAGTACTTCCACTGTTAAGCAGTCACAAGCACAGCACACTCAGCTCCTGAAGTTCATGGTATTAAAATAATAAATTAAAAACACTTGTCTCTCTGCAGAAGTGCCTGCAGCACAGTCTGGGACGAGCAGCAGGAGGCAATGACAGTGCAAGAAAAGGGGATAAGCAGCAGGAGGGAAATGTCGAGCCTATCAAAGGATGCTCCAGAACAAACAAATCTATTCTTGTCACGAATTCACAGGCCATAGTGTGACATCATGATGAACCTTCTACAACAGCTTCACCCTGTGAAGCTTCTGCCGGACCCTTTCACCACAGTGTACAGGACTTCATGGTGGACTTCTGTGGACCTTTTCAACAGTTTTATTTAATAAGGAATAGAAAATATACTTGTTTCAGTGTGTAAGACACAAATTTAGAGCTCAATCCCACTTTAAATTCTACCTCGTTACCCATTCTGAACTACATTAAGCAAATCAACACAGCTCTAAAGCCCACAGCACAGTGTTCTGACTGTAACATGGTGATTTTCAACAGTGCTCCAGCTGTTTGACTGAATAATGTTTGAAATCCCAGAGCATACTAGTTAGCATAGCAGTTCTCAAATATCCACTACTTGGACTTCAATCAGGTGCTATATAGGGAGACATACAATATAAGAACGCGCTCTAACTACGCTGCCTAAAATTACCAAAGCACACATGGCCCTGAAATTCCAATGTAGGTACCTAATGTTATGTTTCAAAACCCGTGTTTTATTCTATTCAGTATAAATATAATCTCTGAACACCTTCAAAAAAGAGAAACAAAGTTAATAACCTCCAAAAATAGCTGACAAATCTTTCACAGTCTTCCCACCATAATGCACCACTATTTTTACACAGGGCTTTTAGAAAGCAAGCAGAAACATTATATACATTGCCATCGTATCATTTATAGTATTTTTAGGAAAGGGACAAGGTCCATAGTGCTCCAATGGCCTCATAAGGGTTTATTTTGTAAGCTCACATCTCACCTCTAAGAACTGCCATGCTCTACATTGATTAGCTTTACATTATTTGGGCACTTAAATATGTATCCCATTGAAGCAAACAGATGGAGGAACTGCTGGTAGGTACTTCCTCCAGAAGAAATCAGGAGGATCATTTTACCTACACAATTTTGAAAATCTTATTTCTGTGTTCGCCTAGGGGGATACCACAGTTTAAACTGTGGAATTGCCAAATAAATCTGCTCAGCCTTGAATACTTTGAGCAGGCTAAGCCAACTGGTAATTCTCATAATGAATGTTTGTATGGATGACAAGGATCCAGATACAGCACCACTGTGCATTTCCCAGGCACAACATCCTGTATAACCAACAGATTCATACACATGTATCAGACATTTATTTGGAAGAGGTGGGCTTCTTTACACCCAGCTGAAGCCTCTGGTGTGAGAGGACTGTGGGTCACCAGAAAACTGTGAACAAACATCCCAGACCGTCAAATCCAACCAGACATAACCAGAGAGAAACAAACAAACAAACAAACAAACCCCAAAACAAAACAAAAAACCACACACACAAAAAACAGACAGGCAGCTCCTGGAAACTACGTACATATGGTAGCCCTAACATCATACATTTATCAGTGGCAACTATCTTAGAATGTAAACAGTGATGCCTGTACTTCCACAGGGATAAATTCATAGAATGATGTTAAGCGGTTGGAATGAATCTTAAAGATTATCTAGTCCCAATCCCCCTACCATGGGAAGGGGCACCTCCCACTAGACCACACTGCTCAAGGTCTTATCCAACCTGGCTTTGATCACTGCCAGGGCTGGGGCATCCACAACCTCCCTGGGCAATCTGTTGCAATGTGTCACCAACCAAAATTTCCTCTCTTTGAAGTCATACCCATTACTCCCTGTCCTATCACTACAGTTCCTAAAGAAGAGTCCCTCTTCAGCTTCCCTGTAGGCCCTGTTCAGATACTAGAAAGTTGTTATGAGGTCTCCATACAACCTTCTCTTCTCCAGGCTGAAGAGCCCAAACTTCATCAGCCTGTCTTCATAAATGAGGTTATCCAGTTCTCTTATCAACTTTGTAGCCTTAAATTTTTAAGATACCTTTTTGTCTTGCCTTATTACATACTTAGCTTATTTCTGATTTCACACAAGAGGACATCACATTGCAATAAATCAAAATTAACCCATTAAAATCTCACCTCCATATTCATTCCCTCTTTCCAACCAAAGCAACAGTGCATCTCAAAATACACATACACACAGTGTCAAATATAAATTTCTGGCAGGAATACACTGAACACAGCTTTATCTGTTACTAGCTTTGAACATATCCTGAAGAAGTTTTTAAGAATAAGAGCAAAATCTGATTTTAAAAAAAAATTACTGGAATGAGTTTAAACATGCCCTTAAATTGCTAGCTATAAAAATGTATTGAATTGTTAAAAGCGTACATTCTATTAAACTCTGCCCTTCCTACAGATTTTATTAGTAAATAAATAACAACATACACCTCACTGTGGCAGCTGGTCCCTGTACCAGAACAGAGTAGAAAAGAGCAGCGTAAGTCAGAATTCAGCTGCTATGCCCAAATGATTTTTATGCAGCTTTAAAATCACGTTATAGAAAGATAAAAATATTTACTGTTTATAATGTTATCACTGAATAACAAATTGGACCCTACTGAATTAAACACTGCAAACACATAGTGAAGAAGAGGTGCCTATTCCAAACAGAGTAGAAGCCACTTAGTCTGTGCTTGCTTCATGTGCTCCATGCTTTAGATAGGTAACGATGTTAATTATATATATTAAGAAGGATTACCTCTCAGGTCTCAAAAATAATACCAAAGGCAGGACACTGGAGGACAGCTTGGGGAAAACCAAAGAAAACCCCCAAAGCGTTGCTGTGCGGAACTGAAGGGGCAAGCGGCGCGCACGGGTGTCTCCGGGACAGAGCACACGGGCAGGGCCAGGGAGCCAAGGGCACATGGGGAAGCCAGGCCAGCAGACAGACAGGAGAGAAGACAGGATCCACCGGGGCTCTCTGCCCCGCCGAGCCGAGAGAAACGGCGGCGAGCAAACGGGAGGTAGCGACTGAACTCGGAGGGGCTGGAGAGCTTTAAATACGAAACTTTTAACTCCAGCGAGGGTTGGGGGCTTTAAGCACGAATCTTTTAATTCCAACATTGTAACAAAGGGGTGCACTGGAAAGAAAGCAGCCTAAGCAGGGCAGGGCAGGGCAGAGAGCACACCGCGGTGCTTTTACACCAAGCACGCAACGCGGAGGCGGCACCAGGTGGGGGTCGGGGCAGGGGGGCAGAGGCAGGGCGGGAGGTGGGAAGCAGGTGAGAAGCAGATGGGAAGCACAGCCGGGGCGGGAGGCAGCGGCGGGAGGCAGGCAGGGCAGGGCAGGGCGGGAGGCACAGCGCACCCCATCCCGCCCAGCCCCGGTAGCACCGCCCGCCGCCGGGGCCGCCCCGCCCCTCGCTCGCCCCCCGGTGCCGGCGGGGGCGGGAGGTACCGTACCGGCGGGCAGGAGGCATTCCAGCGGCGTGAACGCGCGCTCCATGGCCCCGGGGCGCGGGCAGGCACACCGCAAAGGCACGGACAGCGAGGCGGGGCCGGGGTGGGGCGCACGGGGAGCGGCGCTGCCCCCGTCCCGCTGTGCCCGAGCAACGCCTGGAGCCGCCACGCGGCCGCGGCGGCTGCGCCCGCCCTTGCAGGCGGCGCGCCCGGGGAGGTGGCAGCGGCGGCAGCGGCGCCTCCTCCTCCTATATCCCCCGGCACCGGGATTGGGATGGTGCGTGTGACCGGGAAGGGGGGGGGGGCGGAAAGGGAAACCGAGAGAATCGATCGCCGCCGCGATCCGTTACTCGGCGGTTGATTCAGCAGTGGTGGGGGAGGGAGGCGGCGAACACCGCCCCTCGGTGATTGCCAGCGGCGGCGGCCAATGGGAGCGGGGGAGAGGGAAATGGAAGGGGAGCGGAGGAGTGGAGGGAGAGGGATTGAGGGTGCTTAGGGTGCGGGAAAAGCCGTGCCGGCCCGGCTTGCTGTGCTCTGGCAGTCCCCGTTTGGGAGGGTGGGGGGCCCCGCACCGCGCTGGTGCCACCTGTGTGCCCTTTGTCTCCGAGGCCTCGCAGAGTAACGCGGCATTTGTAGGTGCAGCTTAAGTGTCAATTAAAGTTACTTAGGTGACATTAACAAAGCTTGTTAAATACGTTGTTTCTACCAACTTAACGCACTCCCAACTGGGACGTTAATAACCTTTACGAAAAAAAAAAAAAAAACCACCAAAAAACACCAAAACGACAGCACCTGCTAAATTTAAGTCTGCTCTGGAAGAAGTTTTGATCCCCCAAGACGTGTATCTTACGTGTCCCCACCTCCTGGGCCAGCCTTTGTCCCTGCAGGTATCCCTATCCCATCCATCAGAGACAGGGGCGGGCATCTCTCCTCGCCTGAATGGAGGGAGCTGTCCCTGGACCGCCGTTTTCCCGGGAGCTGGGAGGGAGCGGAGCGCCCCGCAGCAGAGGGCGGCAGAGGAGCGCCGCTCCCTCCCTCTTCTCCTCTCTCCCGTCGTCTCCCCCTGCCATCCCTCCCTCCGCTGTCCCGGGAGCAGGCACCGGGCGGCCGAGAGGGTCCGCCGAGCCCCGCACGGAGCCGCCGCGTCTCCTTCTCCATCATGCCCTGCACTCAAACATCCTGGGACCCGACTGGGCGGGAGGCGAGGGCTCGTTCCAGGGTCGTTTGGATAAAGACAGCGTGAGCTGGGTCAGTGGTTGGGCTCGATGATCTCAGTTTTTCCCAACCTAATGCTTCTATGATTCTCTGTCAAGGTTTCCTGTCAAACGGGAGGAAGTGTGACCATCGCATCAGCTACTCAGTCCGTGCTGTTAGTCTAAGACTCACACTCAGGTCAACACCATTTAAGTGACTTCAGTGTTGGTCACCCAACCACATATTTAAGTCAAGGGGGAATGGCTTCAAACTGAAAGAGGGCAGGTTTAGATTGGATATTAGGAAGAAATTCTCTACTTTGAGGGCGGTGAGACACTGAAACAGGTTGCCCAGAGAAGTTGTGGATGCCCCATCCCTGGAACTTTTCAAGGCCAGGTTGGACGGGACTCTGAGCAACCTGGTCTAGTGGAAGGTGTCCCTGCTCATGGCAGGGGGGTTGAAATGATCTAAATGACCTTTAAGGTCTCTTCTAACCCAAACCATTCTATGATTATCCCAATGATTGGAGGTGCTCCTTTGATTTGGTTGCTTCAAGCTTATCTTTCAGATAAGCTACCCTGCCACCTATAAGAGGTTACACTCTACAATTTTAGGCCACAAAGACTGATAGAAATTCAGAAGTATAGAAAGCATTCATACCTTGGCAATGAGAGAAATGAGATTATTGGGGAACAAGGAAAATATATTAAAGACATCAAAAGATTAGTTGTTTACACTATAGAAATACAAAATGCCACGTTTCACTTTTGTGTAATTTAAAAGTTTTCTACCTTCTCCACTGAGAACTTGAATTTCAAAGGCTCTTAGGAGCATCAAAGGCTCTTAGTGTCATCTCAGCATCTCATTCTTCAAGCAGGTTAAGAACAACCAGCATTAGGAAGAACCAACTTGCTGTCCCTCCCAAGAAAGGAGACTATGTGGGAACTACCATGCAGCTGGCCTGTGCTCTCCTCCTCTTAATTATCTCCTTTCCCACTCTGTCTCTCCACTCCCCTTCTTTTCAGTTTTGACAAACACTTTCCTATTGCCTGGTAAAATTATTAAACCTTCTCCAGGATAGCTTATTTTTCTTCTTCAGTATCTGTCAGTGTCTCTGTAATTATTTTTTTAATTTGTGCTTGAGGAGTACCATCTGGTACAAGTAGTTGCTGATAAACAGCTACTTATGCATGAGAATAGCCACACTTGCTCAGAGGGAAGGTCCATCTCAGTCAGCTACCAGTTCCTGGTAGTGTTCAGTTACAAGTCTTCTCCTTTTTTTTAACTGTAAATGCAACAATTTCCATCTCCCCATTCTCTTCATATCCCACAAGATGCTTTTCCCACCTCTGTCACATCTGGGCTTCCAGGCAATCCTTTACCAGCCACTGCTGCAAAAAAGTAATTGTACCTCTCTCTGCTAATCATAGTAATGCATGATTCATCACAACAGTAGCATTGCAAAGAGAAATCAGTTTTGAGAGAACAGGCTGGTACTGGTATCCTTTAAATCCTTTCAAAATGTTCAAGAGTCTGCAAGGGGAAAACAAGTCAGATGTTCTTTCTATCCCTGAACTCTGGCTTGCTTTCACTAGTCTTTCCTTCATATACAAACCTCTCATCCACAGTATAAAGCTCGTTTTAAGAGTCAACTGCACAGGAATAGTTTCAGTCGATGTTAAAATACACTGATCTCTAAGGCAGGACCTGACAACTATTACTGTTTATCAGAGCTTAACAAAGGTATCTGGTAGAGAAGTTTCAAAGAGCAAAATGAATAACTCTGTACAGACTGGTGTGTTTGCTTATGGATAGTCCCATAAGGACAATGAGCAGTCAGCAGGCCGATTTACTTTATTGAAAAATAAGCACTTTCACCTACTTTTTGCACTTTACATCTGTGCTAGGTCATCCATTGAATTTTCCTGTGAAGGGCTACCAGTTAATGAACTAGTGTTTTTTTCTTGTCACACATGGGAAATTCCTCAATAAATATTACACCTGTTTTTCCAGGTAACATATGAGATTCAGCAATACTTTTTTCCTTTAGCTGGATCTCAGACCAAACCTTCTCCCCTGTTCTTTTCTTCTGGCTGTATATGCCTACATTACTTTTGCAGAAGAACATACAGAGAGGCTGTGAAGGAAAGACATCATCTGAGCACTGATACTGTACTTTGATTACTACTACTGTCTCTTCCGATTAGTTAAAAGGAGGGCAGGTGACCTCAACCCTAAGTGAGAAAGTAAACAGGCAAGCAGATGTAGTTCCTGAGCCAGTCATGCCTCTCATCTGAGATATTATCCCTTAAAGTTTGTACAGACTTGATGACTGCTCTGCATAGGGAGAAACTGCAATGTATATATATATATCATTATATACATTTATATATGTAAAAAATCCTTAGCAGACTCCATATAGCTTCCTCTTCTTTAGGAAAACTATTCAGAGGAGCAGTCAGTTGGGTAGCTTCTGTAGAGAACAGTTATGACTAGCACTGCACTTCAGCACCATTAAAACTGATCAGATGGGAAGAGTTGAAGGGTGATTAGGAGGGCAGCAGCTTTTACTTACTCATAACATCTCCCGGGACTCAGCAAGGAAAGAGGAGGGAAGTCAAAATGAATTGCAAGGGAATTTATACAACAGGGCTGAAGCCTGCAGTGTTTGCTGTGCTTCCTTAGGATGATCAGTTTCTGCATATCCTGATACGGATATACTGCTGAGGCTAATTTATTGCAGTATTAGCTGCTTTCAGAATTTTTTTCCTTCTTTCAAATAGACCAGTCTAGTCAAGACTGAAAGGTTTAAAGGTATTTAAGGATTTTTGTCCAACAAAAAGATAGGGCCTATCTCTAGCATTCAGAACATAATACCCCTTTCCCAGATGAAAGTCAGATAGGTCTGGTAATGCCAGACATCATAATTTAATGCTTTATTTTTTTCCCTTCCCTTTTTCATTCTTCACCAAAACAGGAATCATGTCTCTGTGCTTGAGTTGAAAGTGCTTTGTGTTCTGTTCAAAAACGATGGCAGATTTCAGTAATTGGCAACATGTATCTGAAGCCTTTTGATTGGAAAGCATATAGAATCAAAACGACCCAAGTTCCTTCAGAGGTCCCTACTGGTGATGTCTGAAACAAGCTGCTTGTAAAGCAGGGGGCATTTGTTCCTCCAGCTACTCCAATTTTATTGCTAAAACAGAACAGTCTGTACAAGGCTGGCATTCTGGATTCAAGCAACATGTAAATGTCAAAAATATTTTCTCCTTCTCTCCACAGCTTAACTTTATACTAAAGTGAAGCCAGAGTTAAAACTAGCAGGCTGGGATGGTTCATTCTGTTATCTATCTCAGTATTTATGCAGAATAATAAGTTTGAGAATGTTTAGCTAGCTCAGCTGTCTGATTGTCTGTACATCCCTAAGTGCTTTATAATTCAAAAAACGCAGGCATCAGTAGATAAACGGGTTGCTTTATTATAGACATTATATCCTTGCAATTCTCCTGTGCCAACAATTTAAGTCCTCACAACCTCCTTAGAACTCAAAGCACCAATTTGAAAGGTACAGTCATTAAGGGGAAAAAAAAAACCCACAAAAAGAAGACCTGCAAACACAGGTGGATAGAATCTAACAGACCCCCCTGCTTCAAGTCCAGGTCCTGTGTCAGTTATTAGAGCCAGCTTCACATTTGTTGCAAGTCCTGAAAAGATTATGAAATTGTAAAAATATATGATGTTTAGGGTAATATGTTTCTGTAGTGGTGTGGAGCAGGCCAGAGATAAAACTTACGAATTTTATTAGGTCACACATTAAAGCAGAAGAAAATAGTGGAATAATAATCATGTGGCTCACCAGGCATGACACTGCGTTCAGAAGGCCTGAGTTTTAATCTACCCTCTACCACTGGCCTGCGTAGACAGAATCAAATCCCATGGATCCATAGCCTCAAGTGTACATAATTTCTTAGCAATTAAGTTACCTTTGAGAGATCTACTTTAGAGCATTCTATGCCTTTGTTGCCTCATCTATATGATGGCATCAGTCAGGTATATCCATACTTTTAAATGAAAC